AAAGAAGTGTTATGCTTAAAATACTATGCAACAATTACAATATTTTTGAGGTGCTTCAAGAGAGTGGTCACCTGTTTAAAAAGTTAAACTCAAATTACACTGTAGGACAGCCCAAACCAGCCCGGACTTTGTTAACATTTTCTGAAAGTATACCCATCCAGTAGTACAACACTAGGTGGATTTGCCAAAGTTAGCTCGTATTTTTATTTCATGGCCTACTAAAGTTTTCATGTCTCGGCCGAAGAAGTTTTCAAAAAAATAGTTAAAATAAATGTCTGAGCAAAATTAAAGGTTAAGACATATATAATAAAATGNTTGGAGACTATTTTACAACATACCTTCGGCCCAAGGTTCCTATTCCCATTGCTGTCTGTAAGTTCGCCATTTTTTTTTGCTACTTTGTAAAATTCTTTTTACACTAAGGAAATCAGAAATATATGTATGCAGAGCATTCGGTAAATGCCAATCACAGCGATCCCTTTACAATTTGGTGTAATGAAATGAGAGAAAATTGTGTGTTCAGCGAAAGCCATTAAAACAGGCATTTTCCACGAATAATATTTCGACGAAGAAAATCTTTGTTTGAGAAATGTTTAAGGGCAGGCAGTAAAATATATGTATTTTAATTCCAATATGAATATTTTAAACCAAACAGAAATCCCATCAAATCCCCACATCCCCAAACGAAAAAATATATCCCCAAATGGTTTCAGAAATCCCCAAAATGGGGCGAAATCCCCACATCTGGCAACTCTGAGTGGGGGCTTGATATTCGATTTTTTCCGAATTTCGAACATTGCCCATCCATTCGACTATTCGATTCGAAATTTGGTGGTGCAAATTCGATTTAATTCGAATTTTCCAAAAATTTTTTGAAGTGAAACTTCTTAATCGAGTTCGGAGATGTTTGCGTTAAATATTTAACTCCATGCTATAAAATCTGTATCGTTCGTTCGATTTTCAAAAAGGAGGTAGGTGTCAAATGAAAGGGGTTGCCCTGTAGATGTGTAATATGGTTTAGCTTTGTGCCATATGAATGTATGTAAGAAAATCAAAATCAAATTATTTAATAAGTTAAATAAATTTTGAATATACTTTATTTTTGAATTGCATTTAAGAGGGGTGCCACCTGTTTGAAAAGTCTAATTCAGTTAAAGAAGTGTTATGCTTAAAATACTATGCAACAATTACAATATTTTTGAGGTGCTTCAAGAGAGTGGTCACCTGTTTAAAAAGTTAAACTCAAATTACACTGTAGGACAGCCCAAACCAGCCCGGACTTTGTTAACATTTTCTGAAAGTATACCCATCCAGTAGTACAACACTAGGTGGATTTGCCAAAGTTAGCTCGTATTTTTATTTCATGGCCTACTAAAGTTTTCATGTCTCGGCCGAAGAAGTTTTCAAAAAAATAGTTAAAATAAATGTCTGAGCAAAATTAAAGGTTAAGACATATATAATAAAATGTCATGGGAAATATTTTCGTAGAACATTTTAACCTATTAGCTCCCGCCTAAAAGGGTAATTTTGATAAATTCCGCAAAAAGCTAATTTGGAAGGTCGTTAGAGGACTGGTGTACTCTAGAAAATTATTCTCCGGAAAATTTTACTAGGGGTCTTCTCAGGCAAAAGCTTCGTGCTACCAACGTAAAGGCCTCTACAAATTTAAAATAAAGAATCAACAAAAAAAGTACTTGTTAAATTTTTTTTTTAAATTTAAGAATAACAGTTCCTTTTTGGCACAGATTTTTCGTCTCGATGCATCAGATCGAAAAACATATATTTTTTACTTGCATCCCTAAGACAAATGGAGTGCCGCACACAGTGATGGCAAATTTTGTCAGAAACAAGAAAGTTGAAGAGTTGATTTTTTTTGGAAATAAATATGAAATTCGATTTTTTCTAGAAAAATTCGATTTTATCCGAATTTTAGCAACACAAAGTTCGATTTCAAAAATTCGCCATTTTGGAGCTAAAATTCGATTAAGAGTCGAATATCGAAGCTTCGAATATCGAATTTTCCCATCCCTAGCCCAGACTTGTTTGTCTCCGTTTTAGTTTTGCCATCGCCGCGAGTTGTTTCGGTGTGCGCATGGTTATTTAAAAATATAAAGTTTGATGCCAACCGGGGTTTCTCAGTGGATATATAATTCATGTGAATTATAATTTGAAAGTATCTATTTAGCCAAGGAAAAAGCAAAGCAGTATACTTAAACCAGCACTTCCAGCAGATATTGACCTGGGTTTTCGCACGACTATTCCTGTTTCATCGTTTCTTTTTAGGAAATTCTTACCACCATATACATATGCATTATTTACACTAGTAACTATTTATGTAAATATGTATCTATTTTTTATGCTTAATATATGCAAATAAGAGAAGAAAGTAATCCCAACAACCATCGAGTAAATTTTTATTTGTGTCAAACTGAAACTTGTTTTCCAATAATAAACGGTTAGCTGATTCACGTCTACAGCAAGTTCACAAAATTTATTAAAAACTTGTATCAACCCAAGTATTGTTTATATTTGCTCAACAATGATTTTATTCTACTAACAATATTGTCCACTCAAGGTAGCCATTTTGTAATTATTAACAAATATACATTTGTCCCAACTAGAAGTCTCAAGTAAATTGCAGACTTTCGTGAACTAGATATTTATTTCGCCATATCCAACTATGCCACTTATTCACTATAACCAAATCTTGGTAATTATAACTAAACCTTTTTCTGAGTGTGGGGGAGAATGTTGCCGATAAAACAAACTGCGTACAGTAGCCGCTAAATACAGCCTTGCGTAATCATCATCTTCTTGTCATCCTTTCAAACATCCATGCGCGCTTATTTCCTTTATTCTTCATATTATTCCTTTTGCTTCTATCCTCGCCTGCGTGCACATGGTAATTTAACTGGGTAAGTCAACTTAAAGTTAGAAAAACTGATTAAACTTACAAAGGAACTAAGGTAAAAACGTAAATTGAATTTGAATGTAATAAATAAAAATGTTAATTGAATTTGTAGACATTTTAGATTTTTAAAGGTCGATAGAACACTTAATCCCTCACTTTAATGTTCACTGCATTGTGGGCGCTTTTCGCTCTTTACGTACTTTAAAAATATTAAATAAAACGAGCTCTTAGAACTTGGTGGAGTTTTATTTTCAGCAGTCATCGTAATCGGAACTATGCTGAAAATTTGAAGCCTCTAGATTGTCGGGAAGTTAGTTTAAAACTGAATGGAAAGTTCCGCGGTATGAGCAAGTTAAATAAAAGCTTGTAATAAGATTGTATTCTTTATCTGAAATTGAGTGGAGTTTGTTGCTCTTTATCAAGAAAATATGCCAGTTCAGTTTTTATTACGTTTTTTACATATTGCATACAAAGTGCATTACAATCTTATATTAAATATTTTTTAAAGTAACATTTATAATATTTACCCAAATGATAAATTGAATATACATACATATCTGTGTTCGTATGTAAGAGTAGCTTATGTCGAAAGACTGGCTTTAGTATAATGCGGCATTCGCAGCACACGATTGCGAATAGCTCACTGGCGCCGAGCCGTTGAAAAACTTTTGGCAAATAAACGTACATAAATAGTTCTGATACTAGCAAGTCAATAGCTCACTGGCGCCGAGCCGTTGAAAAACTTTTGGCAAATAAACGTACATAAATAGTTCTGATACTAGCAAGTCAATATTCTCATTAAGTCTCATCAAAAAATTTCTTGTCGTTTAAAGAATGAAGGGAAAGCCGCATTATACTAAAGCCAGCTTGCCAACATAAGCTACTATTCCATACGAACACAGATTTTAATAAAGAAATAAAGAGCACACTTTCAGGTAAACACATGTACTTACAAGTTTTCAAAACTAATGCTGGGTTTCTACAAGGCATTAAATGGCGAAAATGGCAAATGACGAAAGTCGGGCATTAACAAATAATCATGTCATTACATTAAAAAAAGAATCATTAAGTTCATTTCCACATAGCATTTTTTAAATGGCATACATTTTTTGTTATTTCAATTCCTAGTGGAAATTCGGCATAAATATATTAATTGAAAGGAACATTTAAATTGACATTAAATTGAAATTAGCAAGAAACCGCGGAATTGTTTTAAGCGTGCTTTGACAAATGATTAGCGATGCTCTATTTGAAGATCAGTGGCTTATTCGAACTTTTAGCAAGTGGTCATAAATTAAATAGAAAAAAATTAAAAACTATTGCATGAAGTGAAAGTGTGATAACAACCTAACCAAAGCATTGTGAAATGGACCATGTGAAAAAGCATTGGACCAAACGAAAAAGAATGGACCAAATTTGGTCCATTTGGACCAAAACGGCAACCGTGATTAGAATATATGCTTGGGTAGTTCTTGAACTAAATTAATTAAAGAACTAGATCATCTTAATGAACTAGTTCACTAGTTCGATCTTTTCATTGAACTAAATTTGTCAGTGCTACTATTTCTCATTTTGGATTGCGATCATGATTCAATAATAGAAAGGTTTTGTAATAAAACAGTCTTCTCGCTTCCACCCATAAAATCGGCTCCTTTCCTTGTGCAGAATGTTGCCTACTCTGCAGTTTCTAATGATATTAGTAGTAAAACCAAAAATTCTTCATACTAAATATTCGTGAGCATCACCTTCGTTTGCGCAATTTTCTAGAAAAAGTGTAGAATAGCGACCGTTTAGCTATAAAATAACCAAAAATACCGATTGATAAAACTTACGTTGATTTGAACGATACCAAATTTATTCGGCGCAGGTAATAAATAAAGAAGATATAAGAGGTTTAATTGCGGTATTTATTTGTATTTTTTATTATCACTAAATTGTTGAAACCCAAAAGTAGATAATGACAAAATATGTAATATCGAATTAAAGGTAATAACTTGTACATTCTAAATAATATTAATTTCTTTACCATTAATTATGCAGTTTTTTTCAAAAAAGGTTATTTCATGAAAAAATAACATTTGTTCGTTTTTTAGTGGTTTTGGTTTAAGAATACAAAAAGCTATAAATTACGTGCATCAGCTGAAATACAAATCAATTATCTTGGTGGTGACGTCATTAATTCTTTAATCGGTTATATAGTTCATAAGATATTAATATTTAAAAAATCTAAAAACTGAAATTTAACCATCTAGAACGTGTTCATTTTTCACATGCGCCAAATAATTTTGGCATGGTTGAAATGAGCATAAAAAGTTCTATTGATCTGCATTTTTCGTTTTTGCATTGCTGAACGGTCGGTATTCTAGATTTCTTCCAGCAAATGACGAATAACTGAAATCAAAAATGCATATTTTATGTATTGGTTAGTATTTCCATTATAACACCAAATATATTGCAAATTCGCATAGAATTAATAATACACCTTTACTTCTAATTGTATACTTTGCGTACTTTTTGTAGTACCTTTCTACTACCGTTTTCGCAAAAGGCGATCACATTCTTCCACTTTCTCCTACTTCCAATATACAAATCTAGATAAAGGAGTGTCAAATTTTAGCTGTCACAAATTACACAACATTGTATTATTAAATCATGGATTGCGATCCAAATATTCTTGGTACGAACGTATGACGCAAAAAGCCATCTTTACAGATACGTTTTAAAACGATTTAGCATTGTTGCTGCTTCACTTCCTTGCAAACGATTTTTTTCGGGTGCAGGAAAAATATTAAACTGGCGTAGAACGCTTTTAAAATCAAAAAGCTGTCTAATTTAATGTTTTTGCTATATGGAAGTGTTTACATATCGTACATAAATACATACTTGCACTGAGGGGAAAAAATAGCAAAATAAAATTAAAAACGTATTAAATCAAATGAAAACGTATTCAGAAGTAGTGTATATCTATGTGATCAGATTTCTGTGGGCAAAAATCGGGACGCTTCTAAAGCATCGAAGCAAAGCATACAATTTTGTTTTTAGAATAAAAAGGCATAGTTACCTTTAATACAGTTTAAAACAAAACAAAGAGAAACAAATTTGAAGAATTATCGCAAAAATGTATACATAGAATATAGGGCTGGGAACTTCATCCGGATTTTTCAAGGCATAGTTACCTTTAATACAGTTTAAAACAAAACAAAGAGAAACAAATTTGAAGAATTATCGCAAAAATGTATACATAGAATATAGGGCTGGGAACTTCATCCGGATTTTTCAAGGCATAGTTACCTTTAATACAGTTTAAAACAAAACAAAGAGAAACAAATTTGAAGAATTATCGCAAAAATTTATACATAGAATATAGGGCTGGGAACTTCATCCGGATTTTTCAACTATCCGGATAAAGCGAATATTCCAATATCCGGATACCGAAATGAGAAATCCGGTTACTCTGGAAGCTAATCTGGAAGGCTATACGAATATCCGGATTTTTCGTTATCAAAACGATATTTCCATTTCCCAATACCAGGCGCTCATAAATGTGTAGTAACAAGTTTTCTATTTCTACGCACAAAATTGTTTGTATAAATTTTTAAATTTCCAACATTCTACTTTGGAATTTCAAAGGCTTCTACAAACGAATTAAAAAGTTCAAGAAACAAATTTATGCGTATAGAAAACTTGCTACTTCATATGCATGAGCGCCTGGTATTTGGAAATTAAAGTATCGATTCGTACGAATATTAACCGGATATTCATACTATACAGAATTTATTCATGTCAACGGATAGTCCGCATGGATATTCGAATATGCGGGTAGTCCCAGCCCTATAAGAATATATTGCTCGTTTAATAGATGTAATTCAAAATTTAGGTTTTAGGAGATTTCGTCACACAATTAATAACCTCACTGAAAATAAAATTTCGTAAAAGTGCTACGAAAATCATTCGTAGTGTTGGTTTTTGTACAATCTACGAAACTTTTGTTCATAATACGAACACATTTTTCACAACGAAACAAGATTTTACGAACCATACGTAAACATAACGAAAGGACTTTCGTAAGGCATTTTTTCAGTACAATTTACGAAAACTTACGTTTATTTTACGAAACACATTCGTAAAGCACTGAACAAATCTCTGTACGTAATATTTACGTATGGTTTTAAATTTACGAAATCTACAATTCTGTATTCGTACAATTTAGTTAATACTTTCGTATAAAGTACTAATGCAGAAACATGTTTTTTAAATTCGTACAACATACGAATATTTTCGTACAATATTTATACTCAATTACCGGCAGTTTAATATTTCATCATATTTTTTGTATCGCGTGTCATTGCAGAATTAATTGTTGGCTGCTGGGAAACGTATAATATAATTTTAAACGTTTTAAAAAGGGATTTGCTGGATAAAAAAACAATATAAAATTAAATATTAAAGCTGTGGATGTACTATGCTTTTAAGCATACAATGTTTTTAACATCGCCTACGCTGCGCCTTGCGCTGCAATGTGGGACTTGATAAATAGGCAATTTCATCAGTTACCTATCAACGAAATTATTTAGTAAATAGTACGAAATTCTTTAGTAAATAGTACGAATACATTCGTAAAATGTACTAAAAATCGTATGCCTCATATTTTCGTAGTATGTACAAAAACGGTTTTGTACAATCAACGAAAACTTTCGTGGCTCAAATTGACGAAAAATTTCGTAAGATTTACGCAATTTTTTGTTATATTTACGCAGATTTTATTTTCCGTGCTCGATAAGGAGAATAAGTTCAACGTAACCGATGACTAAACTTCCCAAAAATGGGGAATGTGTCTTTCCATATATCTGTTGGTATAGCAACTGTATGAATTGATCAGCCTTTGACTGCGTTTTCCCACAAAATTAAAATTTTTTAATAATTCTGTATACTATTAAACGTGCGATATGTATGTAGCTTATATTTTCATATCCATGAATTTTTGTAATAAAAAGTTTTATTTCTTATAATATCACTAAACTCAAGTTTACATCGTTTCAATAAAAGACAACGGCAAACTCAACAAATAATTATAAAAACCCTAAAGAAAACTAAAACAAGCAGGATAGAAACATATCCAAAGATCATAGAAAATAAGGATGTTTATTAATGTCAAGGTATGTTTACGGCTCCCTTAATTATTTGTTCTTAGAGATAACGAAACTGCTGTCACGTCCAAAAAATGGTTTTTAGGCTAGAGCAAACGGATACTTCTATTAAATTAATAAATAAAATACTGAAAGTCGGGATTTAAGCAGTACAAATATGAAAAATCGGGACACTTATACGTCCCCACTTTAAAAAATTATTCAGCGGGACAACTTCAAAATCGGTACTATCCCGCCAAATTCTGTACGACTGGTCAACGTATGTATAACGCGTGAAGTGAATAATTAAGATAAAAACAAAAATAAAATTATAGTTCAAAAAACTAAACCCTCCCTATTATAATTGCCATTCGTACTGTCATCAGGTATGTAACTTGAGAATAGAAATCGCTGCATCTTTTAGGCGCATCAATATTACATAGTTACATCCCGAGCTAATAAAAGGAAGGTAATAAAATTAATTTGCATGTTTGCCTGCAGCGGAATTCGAACGCTGACCCTCTCTGGATATCAACAAATTGTGTAAGCATCTTTCCGCACTCAGCTACAGCCAGTGTTGCCAGGTCTTTGGCATGAGAAAACGTCCCTCTTGGTCTGAGAAAACGTCATTTCCTACCCAAAAACGTCTTTTTCAAATGAATGTACAAAAAATTGTTCTTACAAAACTATACAAAGGTACATATGTACGTAAGGTATATTAATATGTCATTTTTACAGCGCACATTTAAAATTCTTTATAAACTGGTTTGAGATCGTTAATATAAAAATCATTTTATAAATGCACTTGTGATCAGCTGATTAAGTCATCAATATTTTGATCGATTTTGGCTGTTTCTCTTTTGTTTATTTAATGTTTATTTATTTTTCCATAAAAGCCAAGCTCATTATATAACAAACAGAATATAAATCCACATTTCTAACTTTGTGCAAAAATTATAAAAAAGTCTCAGCTAGATTTTTAATATTTTTTTTTTGTTCTTGTAGACATTTGGTTAGCGCTCGGTTGTCGTTAATGCTTAATTACGTTCTGCTAAGGAGCATAGCAATACTTCAGCCTTTTGTGAGTTCATGACATTTTAAATGAAGTCTTAAAAAAGTCATATATTTTTCTGTTTTATGCTGCACAGCTTTTTTGATGCTTTTGCGAGCGTGCATGTTGCAATAGATCGGCTATTCCTGATTTGTCTTTTAATGTGAAATTGCAATCATTACAACAAGCCTCGTAACAAGGGTACGAAAATAAACTATATTGTACGTTACTATTTCGTTTCGTTTATTACTTTAACAGTTCGGTACAATACGAAACAAAACGGCTGAGTTCACTTTGGCGATAGTACACTACAGTAGTTTAGTAGTTACAGACGAAACAACAAACGAAATGAATCGTGCAGAGAAAAATATATGTATGTATGTACACATATGCAATAACTAAACACAAAACGAATGGCTGCAATGAATAAAAAAAATAAAAATGTTTTTTAATTGAATTGGATATGAAAATTTACAGAAAAAATTATTTTTCACGTAATTGAAACGTTTGCATACATATAAAACGTACCCTATGGTGCAATTGTCACAAACGAAAAGCAAACGTTTCTCGTTGGGGAAAATGACAGTGAATCTTACAATTTGTTTCTGACTATGTACAAAACTGTATAAAACCACAAATGATATGATGATCGATGAGCAAATGGGAATTGTTTTGTACAGTTTATTTTCGTATTCTGCTCGTAACCTCAAGAGTTTACACAACCAGCCTTTGAACACGGGATCCTTAGTCCAAGAATCCAAAAAAATGCGCGTACGCTTGGTTTGCATCATATTTAAGTCATATGTGTCCAAAAAATAAATATCTTTTGAAGCAGCTGAAGCAAAATACAAAGATTATAATGACTTATTAAGAAAATAATTCAAAATCAGTTCTATTACAAGATTTAGTAACAAAGAAAAATTACTGGGAAGTTAAAAAACGTAATTTTTTACACTAAAAAGGTCCAAACGTCAACAGGATACAAAAAACGTCCAAATGACGTTAAAAATGTCAACCTGGCAACGCTAGTACAGCCAGACATGTAAATGTGCTTTCAAATGTTGAGTTTGAATCAAAACCACAGCACGCGATTACTGCATTTGTACAAATAAACATGTACTATGTATGTGTGTATGCGTCAACATAATTCTCTCTCTCTCTACTTTAACTCTGAAGTTCTGAACACATTGAAAACGACGAGCTACCGACCACAG